CATGAAGGCAAAAAGACTGGGGACCACTGCCCTAAACTATCCACCATCCTCAGGGCAATTAAACATACAGCCGGATATGGGTTCCATTGGGGTTTTGCTGAAAAAGTGGATTTCTATGGAAAGATTTCGAGAACAGGTCTAAAAAGTGTCATTTGCGGATGCACTCTGAGAAGCAGTTCTGTGTTTAAAGTATAACAAAAGCAGGCCACAAGGGAAAATAATACCCTCAGACAACTAGAGGGAATAGATTTCAATGAGGAACCATCAAAGGCAAAAGCAAGTCACAAGAAAAGAGAAGGAAATGTTAAGTTAGCAGAGGAATATGAATCAGAAATTTTCTGAGGGGAGAAGAAAAGCCATAATTCTGCAACTTTGTCAGCAGAAGGAACATGTCTTGACTGTAGACTGAAAGAGGACTCAAAAGAAAGCTTCTTCCAAAAGAGTGGATGAGAATATTGTCAATGTCTAAATAAAATAAGGAAAAATAGGAGAGTTTGGGGGAATGAGGAAAACAAGTATCAATTACATACTGAATATGAGACAACAAAATGGAAACACAATCTAGTGAAAATTACAAAGAAGTAACTGGAGATATGAAACTGAATGGGAAGAGAAAGCTCTAAGGTAGGAAGATGGAGTTAGCTATAATTATCACATAGACTGAAAAACATGACGTAATGATATCCTCAAACAATATGCAGACCAGGAGCAAGGAGTTTTTTCCTTGAAGAAGTCCATGTTTTCTTGGTCAAAGTCTATCACAGGTCCACCTTAAAAAAGAGTGGTAATTAGACCCAATGGTGCTCGGAATAACAGTCAAATCAACAGATCCACAAAGGTGATTGTTATATTTGTTTGGCATGCAACAAAAATATATATGCATCCTGACACTCTTCTTCTCCAATTTGTTCAGAATTTTATCAATCAACCCTGTAGCTGGAGAAAAAAGGGTATTAATATAATTAGCACAGAGTGGGGATAGACATGACCCAAGGAGATATCAGAGATTTGCACTGGAGAGAAGCCTGGAGATGATGATGAAGATGATGATAGCCTATCTACATTTGACCTACAATATGCAGGGTTCCCACCCAGTACAGCGGAGAGAACAGCTGTGGGACAAGAACAAATATTTGAGGGACCCAAACACAGACAGGAAAGGGGTTAGCATTAAAATATTCCAAGAATGCTGAGACAGATAGGAAGATTGTGGAGGACAGACTCACAGAGAGAGTACAGAAACACCAGAAAAAATAGGGCAGACATTTTCGCTTGCTGAGAATGATATGTTGCCAGAAAACTCCATCAAAAGCCATCCAGAATGTTGAGAGTTACTCACAGTTGGCAAATTCCATTTGGTCTTTTAGCCACAATATGCTCTGCAGCATGTCAGGAGTCAAGAGTGAAAAAGCAGTAATACTTAGCACTTGGCATGTTCCCAATGACTACTGCAGTCGCCTTTGAGAAGACTGAGACTTCTTTTTCAGTCCCAAAGCAGCACAAGCACATTAGGATAACAAAAGCAAAGGGGAATTCCTTTGGTTTCTGCCAGTTCCTCTTTTAGTTTACAGGTAGTAGTAGCAGTGACAAGGAGGAAGCCAGCAATACCTCTCCAACTTTTATATTGATCAGAACTGGAATTGAATTTGGGAAGGAGTATGTCTTGCTTTTAAGGTGGTCCTTTAAATAACTCACAAAATTCACTGCCCAACCAGCTGCAGTCAAACTCCAACAACATCCTGACATGTGGTCTCCAAAGAAGAGCATGTAGAATTTGTCACATTTCTCAAATGGATCGCAAAATCTCAATAACCTTCACAGTTCACCTTTTAAATCAGGTGAATTTTCTTCATAGTTTTAAAAATTCCATTATTGATCTGTCCAAAGATACCTGATTATATTCCTTTTAATAGCATACATATAAACATGGGGGGGGGGAACCAGAAATCTGGTCTGCACACACTACAAGAACCATAATCTCACTCTTAACTGATATGGCCTCATACTAATTCTTCTCTTTTCGTTTTCCTGGCCACAAACCACAGTCACAAACAGGACACAATATGTCTAACATAAAACAACCAAAGTTCACATGCACTGTAGCAACATTAAAATAAGCTTCCTAGCCACAACTATGAATGAAAATTTGTCCTGTGTTTACAGGATAGTGCCCAGGACTCTAAAAATAAACAGCACTATTTTAAACGCTAAGGTATTTTGTTCATGATGCTTTTACACTTTGCCATTTCTACAGCACTTTATACAAAGTGCTAAGCATTCTTGTATTCATCTCAAACATTATTAGATCCATCCTCATAACTGCTTACCACTTTCTACTTTTCATTTCTACACATAAGAAAATGAACAATCACCATCTGTCGCAAGTCAATGGCAGACACAATACAGTGGTTTCAAGTTCAGTGCTTTATTCACATAATCCACAAAGATACTTCAGAAAGAAAAGCGTGCAGCATTCTGACAACTAAATGAAATTGGTGACAACTCTAAAGACAGTGTGTTATGGGTTCTCTTTTCAAAAGGTAAAATAGTAGCCTAGATTAAATGCCACACTTACACATTTAATAGCATAATTTCGTGCATGCTAAATTAAAAGTAAATGCTACTTTTAGAGGAACTGCTTTCCAACAATGCATTTGATTACACCTCCAGAAAGAACTGTTTAAAGGAAACTGTTCAAAGTTTGAAAACCACAAACTTGCCACAAAATAAACTGACAGCAGTGTATTACACACATCAAAAAGCCCAATTTTTTGATGATTACAGTAAAGCTCTAATCATAAAATGCACACACAAGTAAAGATACTAGAGAGCAGTCCGAAGTATTTAGGCAATATTGTTTTTGTATTTGTATAAAAGCCTCACATTCCCAGTTTTTTTAAAGCAAGTAAAATACACAGATAGAACTAGAATATCATTCACCAATACAGTTGCTTTAGATTTTATATCACCTCTGTAACAATTAAGTGTTCAAAAGTTTCAAATATTTCCTCTTCATTCTACTGCTGGGGATTCAATGTTAGTACAATACTAATACACAACACAAATACACTGGGATGCAGACAGCAAAGGCACACCTGCGCAGTAGTTCACATTTTGAACAGAGCCCCTTTTCCATCCAAACTCAAAATGTGAGAAAACCAACATCAACCAAAAGAAGTGAGGATCAGAATTGTTAGGTCACATTAATTCAGCATCCCGATGCCCTGTGTGGGTTCTTAAATGAGGCTTTTCTTTTGACAGCCTCATTTCTGAAACCCGCAGCAACTCACAACATGCCCAACTCATGCAAGAGAGAACAATGAGGCATACAATCCTATATTAAGGTTTCAAGAAAATGAAACCTTTTATATATAAAGAAACAAAATGGAGTTGCAAGTGGAGAAAGGGAGGTTGCTCATCCTGTATGGGAACACTTGCAGGACAAAAGCGTCCCTCTGGTTAATGAACTGCCCTTTAAAATTAACTTCTTTAAGCCAAGCCTCCTTTTTCTCCCCCCCCCCCTCAGGCTAGCCGAGGAGCTCAGAAGGGTCCCGTCCAGAAGAAGTGGCTCGTCGGACTTTCAGGCCTGGGATGCTCATTCCCAGTCCCAGAGCCTCGACACACAAAACACACACACACACGTAGTTATTTGCAGGCCTCATTTTCTGAAACGACGGCCCCGGTCAGAATAATGGGGCAGGGAAAACGGGAAGTGGCGTTTGCGAAAAGCAGCCAGGTGGTGAACAAAGTTTGGCATTGTTGTTGGGGGGGGGAGAAGAGGGGACGTATCGCCCCCCTTCGCCCCTGCCTGGCCTGGGAGGGGGGGTTTGAGAGAGAGAAGAGAGCGCGGCCCTTCCTGACCTGTCCCGGGGGTCGATCCACGAAGTCTGCCGGGTGTTGTGGTCGATGTAGAAGACGCGGCCGTCGTAGTCTCTCGCCTCCTCCCAGCCGGCAGGCAAAGGCAGCTCCGAGCTCTCACGGCCCCGCGGCCCTCCTCCCCCTCCGCCTCCTCCTGGCCCTGGGGCCGACACCACCGGCGGCTGGCCGG